AAAGCAGCAAAGCAGGGAAGATAAGGAAGGGCAGGAGAGAAGGAAGAAGTGTCTTACTCCTTCGAGAGTGGAAACAAAAAAAAAACATATTTTTTTGGATCCTTCAGTTTCCTCCATTTTCTATTCAGTCAGTTTTTCTGATGCAACTGATGAATAAGGTCTGGACTTACCAGCTACACTTTGGTTGTCTACATTCTCTGGTTCTGGGTCAGACTCTGGCTCCAACACGTAAGGCTGCATGGACAAGTCTTCCCTTGTTGACATCTTTAATTTGTTTTTAAGTAAAAAGTTTCTGCACACTGTCAAACTAGAATCAGCTGCTGTGGAAGCTGGAGGAGGAAGGCTGTGAACTGTAGCGTCTAAATGAGRTGATCTGAGACAGGTCAGACAGGGCTGAAAGGGAGGATCGTTAGGTTAGAGTGAGGAACTCWGATCAAAGAGTTCCACTTTAAATATAGACCCCAGCAGGATGTGTCTACTTAAAGCAGCATTTGAGGATGGCACAGTGATCTGTGGAAGTGTTCCTGAGTCCTTTCAGTGATGTCCAGAAAAGACCTCAACTTGTTTTTACTGCAGAGGCCCCTGAGGGCCCAAAGATCACCACCATCCAATAAACACTTTGAGCTCAAACATTTCTACAGATTCTTCTAATTTTTAATGGTTTGAACTGTAGATGATAGAATACTGAAAATCTGAAAATGTTCAACTATCTTTAAATGTAGATTTTCAAACCTCTGCCCATTTTACTTCTGACAGACTGAGCCTGTAAAAATCCTCTTTTTATACAGTCCTGTTATTGACCTGACTGATCTAATTAGTAACTAAATGCTGATATGTCTGTTTGCTCCACTAACTTTAGCAGAATATTARTGTCCTTTGTCCCACATTTTTAGTTGTGTTACAAACTTCAAAAACATTTTTTCCAAAAAGTGGTCCAACTTCTCATTTTAAACCTTARGTTCAGATACAGTATGAATAAGATACGGCTTCATGAGATTTGAAAAACACTGCATTCTGTTTTCAAATCACTGTTTCTCCAAAGAAAAGTTCATATCAAGTTCAKATGTTTAAACTCTTAACGCACTGGTTAAAGTTGTTGGACTGACCTGTTTTGGTGGAGCTCTTGTGACTTGCTGAATGATTCAGGATCTTGCTGACCTGCTGTAAAATCAGGGGAAATCCACAGATCCCCTCAGAATGAGGAACTTTTCTGTCAACCTTTAATCCTTAGGAAACATACAAGGGGAAGATGAAAAGCAGAAAATTACACTCATAACGTCAGTTGTCAAGTTAGACTATTATTTTCACCTAACTTGAGTCTGATCTTGTGAAACTACAGTAAAATAATCTGCCAGTGCAGTAAGACACAGAGTAGCCCTGTGCAAAGTAATACTGAGAATTCACAACATTTATATTCAAGTTCACAGCTTTGATATTTATATGGTGGTTAACAGAGCTGTAAGGAATTCTTAGTGAAGTAAAAGAATTAAAATATGAAGCTATTTGATTTGTTGTTTGAGTTGATGCTTTTATGTTGTTTTGATTTTAATTTTTTATGTTATTTAGTATTGTTTTGTAAATTATGCTTAGTTTGAATATATTTTGG